TATTTAATCATGCATACACATTCAAAATCCGGTGATCTAGAAGTATAAAAGCTGTATTTTGTTCTGGGGTGAGAGCTTCATTAATGCTGAATAGTAAATACCAAGAGCAATAGAGTTATATTTCAGAGATAAATATGATAATCTGGTGTTTTGTATGTATGTACAAAGGTGCTGTTTTTAGTTGGTTGAGTTTTTGGAGAATACCAGCACAAAACATTTCTATTTGATAAAATAATTATTTTTAGTGTACTTAATGCATCTTTTGCTTGATTACTGAATGTTCTTATTTTACAGTGCATAGGATAATGTTTATCTAAATTGAAAATGTTTATATAGGTAATATCTTGCAGAGATTTAGAGAATGTGGTCTAGGCTCCAAGTGGTATACCTGAAGGTAGTTTTGGAGATTGTTGTAAGTTTTTAGCACAGATCAACTACTGTTGAATATCTTGATATTAAAGAGGAAGTGGAATGAAGACAGCCACTAGTGAACTGAAGGTGGCCAGTCATACTGGCATGGGAATAGCACAGTCTTTGGTCTAAAGCAAAAGAATCATAGGGAAAGTAATTAAAAATAGTAAATGCAAACAAGTGTGGAATTAAGTAGAACCTTTAATATGAGGACTAAATAGTTTTATGTGGTATGGATAAAATGAAAGATAGCGAGAGGATACTGTTGTTGACTGAACAGGTGCATAGTTAGATTAGTAGGCAAAGATTATTATTATTATTATAGTACATTGAACAGGAGTAGAAGTGAGATTAAAGAAGCAAATGAAAAGACTGAAATGAGCAAATGAAAAAAGTGAAGTTTTATATTGTTTTCACAATAGTGGTGGTTGCTTGAGTTCTTACTAAACTCAGTGACTTGAAACCAAGTTTAAATTGGAATTCAATAATTTGAGAGAAAATACAAAAGTAAAAACTGCCAAAATTGTGAAATAACTTTATGTATCAATTTTATTTCAGAGAACTTCATAAAAAACTACAGCATTCTCTATAGTCCCTTGAAAAGGCATCTTGTTGATGACACTTCAGTCCGTTTTCGCATACAGCATGTAATCACTGAAGTGACTACCAGCACCTTTCATGATACTGTGCTTTCAAATGAAAAGGTACACCTCATTGCTGAAAGAATTCCTTGTAAATCATTGCTCACAATTATGAAGAAGGGGACTCATTCTTTTTTCTTTCTCTTTTCTATAACTGTGCTTTGTCCTTGACTCGATTCCCGCACTCCCGTTTCCTTTATTCGGGTTTGAGATAACACTAAAGAACATTCTGATTTCTGGGTTTCATACCTGAAAATAAATAAATATACTACATTTTTTTCCTATGTATCACATTTTTTTAAAACTTACTTAAAAATTTAAGCAAAGCAGATGTAATAGAAAAAAGAAAATGTGTTAAAACTAAAGTATTATTTGAAAACACAGAAAAAAAAAAAAAAAGTTTTCCAATTGCGTTCCATGAAATTGTTTTATGTAAGATGTCTTGCTGAAGAGTAATTAATTTACTCTGATTTATTTAAAGATGTGATGTATGGATTAGTATCCCTTAGGTGTGAGGATTGCAGCAAATGTATACATCTGAAGTAATTGGCTGCCAGCAACCCTAATGCCTGCTTTGCTAGCCTGGTACCTACACCTTTCTCCCCCCAAGCCCCACAAAGTTTACAGTTGCTGTAAGATACATAAGAATTTAAGGTTGTAGAAGAATTGTGAGAAGTGTAAGAAAGTTTGATGCATTATCATTTACGGGGAAATACACAGAGAAAATACAGAGAATTATTTATGGAAAGAGAATTTCCCAAGAAATTCTGTGTTAACCTGGGAGACAGAAGGCAGCATGAAATAGTTTATGATGTGTGTCAATGTTAGGATATAGTTTCCTTTCATGTTTTAAGGGTTCCAGTGAATTTAAATGTTGTGAATACTAGTCCTTCTTTACCACAGATTAACCACAATAGGTAATCAAACTCTTCTCCATTTCATTTTCCAGAATGTCTTGCTGCTCTATTATGCACAGTGGTGCGGATTCTGTGCTTCTCTTAATCATATCTTTATACAACTTGCTCGGCTTCTGCCTCCAGATAATTTCACTGTGGCAAGGTAAAAAAGACTCTAATTTAATCTCTCTACAATAATGCAAGTTCATTGAGGTCATTGGCCTAGAAAATAATTACTTTTTTCTCTCTACACTCTTGCAATACCTGATGTAAATGTTGTGTTTCATTTTTCTCTGAATGCATTATTTATCCTCTGTATAAATTTGGTAGTTTTCAATCTCACTGTGGTATATCTGCAGTTCAGTTATAATGAATTTTTAATCAGTGAGATTATTCATGAAGTGTCCTTAATTTGGGAAGTAAATCAGTAAAACAGCAGCAGAAAATCATTTTCACCTCTGATTATTTGTAGCAAAGAATTATATCCTGTAGTACTGTATTTGAGAAATTTTATATATATATATGCACATACTTATATTTTTATACTTGTATTTTATATATACTTGTATATATTTATAATTGATACATATTACATGATTTTGTTTAGCATTTCCAGGGCTTTTCATGTTACAGTACAATTTAAACATTCTTATTCATGTATTTGATAATACATCAATACTTATAATCTCTGCTCCAATTGCATCCTTTGTTTTATTCTGACTGAATTTACTTCAGGTGGCAGCAAGAAATATATTGGGAAAAATTAATTAAAAACCTGGAATTATTACCTGTTTATAATTACTGCTTTGTTCTCATAGATATGATGCTACTCTCAAACATGCATCCATTCTTTGTTGACATTGAAGTTCTGTTGTTTGGTCCACTATTTTTATTCTAGTGTTACTTATGTGATTGTCTTTTTTTTTATTTAATAATAAAATTGTTGTAATAAGAATTTTATTTATAATCAAGGGAAACCTAAAAAAGCAGAGAAGAAAAAACACATAAGCAGTTGAACAAGTGCTTCATTCACAAAATCTTGTTTTCCTTTCTAGATAGAGCTTTAGAAGAATTTAGAATGCATTTGTCCTCGGAAGAAGCAAAGTAATTTATTCTCCAAACCAGATATTTAAGGAAAATATTTGTGGAGTTGTATTGAGGAACAAATTACTGAAAAAGAAACAATTCAGTAGCACGTTGAAGTTTGTAGGCAGGTCTGCCTGTTTCAGGGAAGTGTATACATAGTGATTGTGTACTTTAATTGCCAAGAGAGCAGTTGGAATACTGTACATATTTTTCTGGCAAAAATTTGTTAATCTGAGATTTATCATCTTGTATATCGGCAAATAATTTTGCTGATTCATTAGTGCAATATATTTTCAACATAACACATTCAAACTTACTTTCACAGTTACTTGCATTTCCCTCTTTGTAATCCCCAAAATGGTGTTTTAGGAAAAAAAAGATTGTTCATCTGCGTGTTTCATCAGTGTGTCATTTCTTAACAGAATTGATATCACTCGAAATGATCTTCCATGGGAATTTATGACAGACCGTCTCCCAACTATTTTGTTTTTTCCGCATCACAGGTAATGTAATACTTTTCCTTATGGGTTTTGTACTTTAATTTTACTAAGTTATAATAACTATCCGACTGTAATTCTTAGCAGAGAAAAAAACAAACAGTAATTCTTCTTTATGTGTATTCTAATAATTAAAAAGAAAAAGAAGACATGGATAGCTGATTTTATACAGACAGTGAATACTCTCTCTGAAAGTCATTATTTATTTGTTTGCAAGTCTTTATGAACAGCAACATAATGTTTCTTCACTTAACTTTTCTTATTTGGATTTTATTATTATTATTATTTTGGCATGATCCACCTGGATCATGTGGTTACGGGGGGAGGGGGATGAAGAAGAGAGAAGTGATGTAGATAGTGGTGCAACTTTTATCTAATCTCTTCAAATTGATACGCTAATAGATATCTTAAAGGATAATATGAATCTAACTTCAAAAATGTGTATAGGATTTGGAAGACTTAGGTATTTTGTTCAACTTAAACATTCATTAATATCAGGTCACTGTGATCATCCATGTCCCAGAGTGATGATGTCATATGCAGTTCAAGGTGCTAAAATATAAGTATTTTAAATATGGATTAAGAGCACAATCTGTTTCTTAAAATTCTTGCTCTCAGACAAATATCCATCCAATGCAGAGATGCTTATAGCACATAAAAGGATTCATGTTAGTGCTATACCTTCATTATACAAGTTTAAGTTTCTCTTAATTGCTATATTAGCAAGATACTAAGTTTGAGTTGGACAGCAGATATTTAAATAAAGCTATCATTGTTTACGTACCTTTTTTAATATTAGTATGCCCTTTTTAGGAAGGAACAGAGTATGAAGTTTCCAGAAGACTTCTCAGTTAACCTTCCTAATCTTCTTAAATTTATTTTACATTACTCAAGTCTTTCTTCATCAGCACCCTGTACCAAAGAATGCTTACATAAAGAAACAGTTTTACAGCAAGGACACATCTTGCACTTAGAGAAAGAAATTCAGAAGTTAAGATCAGAGATCAGTGCTCTGCATCAAGCCCACAACCACCTTGAGGCACAGCTTTCTGAAGCAAAAAGAGAAGAACATCAAGTACAGCAGCAAAAACACATACTGGAAAAGCAGCACAAGACTCTGCAGCTCCACAGCGAGCAGTTACAAGCCACATTTGATCAGAAGAATCGAGAATTACTAGAAATGGCTGAAAAGCTTCAAGAATTGGCTGATGCATCAGAAAACCTCCTTAAGGAGAATACTTTACTAAGAATCCTGGTAGCATCAAGGGAAGGAAAGCTGCAGGGCAAAGATGAAATTAACGAAGCCCTTCAGCCAGAGCAAAAGCTTTCTGATGACAACATATTGGTTTCAACAGCTACTGCCACATCAGAGGAAAAAAGAATTGATATTGATACTCTAGAAACAGAGCACAGTAGTAAAAACAGGACAGAATGATTTCCTTCACAAAGAAAAATGACACAGTATTGGGTAGGTATTTATGCAAATTTTATTGAAATTCATTGTAAATAAAGACTTCTTCCCCCACATGATCTAGAAAAAGAAAATCAAATGAAATATTTTTGTATACTTGAACAACTTACTAGCTACCCACATCTAAAGCGAAGAGTATGGAAAACTTTCTGCACTTTACTATTGCACTAGCTTGCAGCCACCTATCTGATAAAGATGCTGATGCTTAGGGGCAGCAGCATAAAACATCTGACTAAAGACCAGTTATTTTTCACCAGCTTTCTCTAATAACTGCTAGACGGAGAAAATTAGACCATTGATTTATACTTTTCCTTTAATTCCTGAAGATTGCCCTTTACACTGCATTGTTTGCAGAATTAAAATGGAGATAAATTATCTGTATAATCAGTAAACTTGAATGGACAAAGTCATCTTGCTGTAGCTACTCTATTCAAGAACTTCAGCACTTTGTATCACTTTTGTACACTAATTATGTCTTGAAACCTGCAAGAGCGGAACTGTGTGAACTGTTACCTAGTGAACCAAAACTAAAGAAAAATCTTATTGATTTAACCCGTTTTCTCCTTGCTTTTTAGGATTTATACAATACAGCAATCTTAAGTGTGTGGGTCTGGCTACATATGCAAGCCTCCTGACACTAGTATATTAAGCATGTGCCAGGGCAAGAACTGCCCTTTGGTATACCCTATAGTATACTCTAGTGGTAATTCCAGGAGCTTTTCACTGCTGTCAGTATTAGTTTTTGCTTCAAATTTGAGTCTTCAATTAAGAAATCAGAAGCCAAATGCAGCACTAAAAGTGCAAGACAACATCTTACTCTAGAAGAAAGGGGTATGACCTTACTGAGTAGGCCACTGTTGTCTTATATCCAGTTGCATAATTCTCAAGTAAGCTTGCAAGGCATCTCTTAACTGAGTTATGCCATACACACAGGGGCAAGAAGCAAAAGAAGTGACTTCCAAGGGAGCTGGGATTTGAATTTCATTATTTGTAGAATATTTTAGGAAACAGGTCTCCACAGTAAGCTTTTTGGTCCTAGGCAATCAAGTGTTTAAAATCCAGACTAGGCACAAGGAAGCTACGTATAAAGTAGCTTCATATAAAATAGTTCATAAAGAAGCTGCGTATGAAGTAGTTTAGGGGCTAGAGTTAAGTTGAACCAGGCTTCAAAGCATGTGTACCTACTCAACAGTCTGAGAGTAGGCAAGCTGGCCTTGGTGGTTTAGTGCTGTCCCTTCTCCTCTCCAAGTATTTAACACATCTTTTTACAGTTTCTATAGCACAATTTCTTCCACAGAGCAGGAAGTGAAAGAGATATGCCATCCTTACATGAAAGTGCTTCCCAGCTAGTAGTATGAAGACACCCCCACACTGAAAAGCAGTCCTGCTTCCCTGTATCAATCCTAGACAAACTAATGTTAAAACTTTTATCTTGTAGTAGTTGAGCTAAGCCACAAGATTATCTACAAGATACACAAATTGAATTCTGTAGTTGATCACTTGTCTTTAGACTAAAAAGCCTTTTTATAAACAGACTCCTAACATTTTGTTTACATACACCTGAATTGCTAAGTACACAAACAGACCTTCTAGGAAAAAAAATAGGTAAGTTACGTTTATAAGTTTTAATAAGTAACTGCTTCTGCAGTTTCAGCATGCAGACAGAAGAGAAGACCCTGCTCTACTGCCAATTCAAATTCCTGGAAACCTTCTGGACCATCCCTGAGGGTTCAGTATCCATCATCAGTTCCCAGTTCCATCAAAATGGCAGTTTCCTCGCAGTAGCTACATGGTTAGAGAGCTCAGTTCTAGCAGCCAAAAGCTTAGCCTATGCCTAGCTGCAACTGAAGGAAACCATTTCCTTTCTTGTAGCTCCTGTGTTTCTTCCCTCAACGTATTACTGTCAGGTTATACCTGCTTTTCAAACAAGGTATTCTACCTTCTTTTCAACATTCTGTACTAGTCCAGTAAACTGCTGAAGTTCTGGCTCTATGGCTGTGCACTCAGAAGTTAATAGCAGAAGCAAGTTTTAACTGCAGATCTGGTTTTGAAGGTCTGGATTCCACCTACAGTCCTCTTGTGTTACATACTATTTCACCACACTATTCTCATGTGCTGTGAAGCACAAAGCAAAAAGCTTCTGGCAGCCTATTTACAGTTCACAGTTGTAAAGTAGTTCACATTACAGTAGTAGCTCCATCAAAATAGGCTCAGCTAAACATTCAAGTAACAAAAAGATGCTATCAGTCTCTTCACTCAAAGATATCCTGGTGTCCATTGCCAGCAATGGACTTTATGCCAGGTGAGTCAGCTCTTGTCACAGAAGTAGGATACACAATTGACACAAAGAGCAACTTCACAGTGCATGCAGTTGCAATGAAAGCTTATTTAAGCCTCATCAGGGTGTTTTCTGATGAGTAATGTGCACGTGACCAAGTTCTTCACAGTATAGATTCTTCTGCTGGTTACACATATAAGCACAGTCCACATACAGGTGTTGCTCCAAGTTAGCTATGTACTTCTGTGCTGTTTGGAGTTAGCTTTGCTTTCCTCTCTACGCAAGGTCCTTTAGCAGAGTACTGCACAAGAAGAAAGGGCTCTTTGGTTTCTCCTTCACCCACGATGCTTTCCTCATCTTCAGACTGGCTGATCCTCTGCAGACGCAAGTAACACCAGCAGCCCAGTATCAAGGCACCAAGAGCTGCAATAGCAATCAAAATAACAATGACAGTCACCACTCCTGTGGTGGGGCTGTGATCCATAATAGACATGGTCAGTATTTCGGATTGTCAGACTTCTTGAGGAAGATTCTGCTGTTGTCACTGTATCTTCAAATTCCTGCAGTGGAAAAAAAAAAAAAAAGAAATACTTAATGCACTTGTTCAGCTTCACCATAATCAGAAATATTACAATTATGGTTGGTATCCTCTCTGTGATGATACATGACCCTCCTGAATTCAGTGCTTCACACTTCTGCATATACACTTACTTTAAGATGTTTCTTTACAACTTGCCTTTGAACATGCAGATGTCTACACTGAACTAAAGCAAACGAACTAAATGTGGGTTCAACTTGACCTGCTTTCAAGATGCCCACGAGTAATAATTTTTTTCTAAGAGAAGATGAGAAAAGATACTGAGGCATCTTAGGATCAGGTGGTTCTGAGACAGAACAGTCCATATCAAGTTTTAATCATAACTCAACCAAATTTTTGCAAACATTGAAGTCACTAGGCAGAGTTCAGCAAACCCAGCACTCATATCAAGGATATACCTAGATTTACATAGCAAAATCATATATATTTTTGCCAGTGATGGAAGCTATAGAGTTTAGCATGAAGAGATTTAAGACTATTTAATACAAATACTAAATCATGGTTGACTCTCAAATCCATGACAAGATAGTAATTTGGCTACCTTTACTTTTTGTAAAGAACCTTACAGAAACAGTACATCTAACTGACAGAAGTCTGTCACTTTAAATTTTTAATGTATGTCATCTTCCTAATGCACAAACAGTTCCAGGACTGGTAACTTAATTGCAAAATTAATTCTAATGCTAATGGATTACTACAAACCCATCCATAGCACTGGTCTGTTTAGAAGGGTTGAGTACATGGTGATTAATTGGTTGTTCACTGAGCTGGTAAAAAAAACAAATATAGCTTTAAATGCATTTTTTGTAAGAAGCAGGTAAAGCTAGATTTATTGGAGACTTCAGTAAATCTAAGGGGAAAATTATTATTACAAGCTTCTGCTCCTCCTTAGTGGCTTTCAAATAGCAAGAGCAAGGTGGCATGTTAGAAATGAAGCTGAAATAGGAACAGAGGCAGGAAAATGGGAGAGGAAGAGCTGCAAGACTTTCGTAGTCTGCCACAGTTCCAGCAAGCAGCAGATGTTCTCCATACACTTTTGTCTACTTCCACTTCTGAATTCATGGTATTTTAAGGAGTCATGTGGGCCTTTCCTTTTAAATTTAAGGTTACTGTTAACAAAGTTGGCAGTTCTGGGTTTCTCTACTTCAACTGGGTTTGTTACTTTTTCTTTCCTGCTACCTTCTCTTCTACAGTACAGGAACTCACAGGAGACTTTTTAGAGGTCGGAGCCAGTTACGATGTGGGAACTGCTGTAAGAATCAGGGCTCAAAGTCACGATTTCAGGTACAGCAGGTACAGTCCCGAAAGGCTCTAGGGTCTGCTGCAAGAACAGAACAGCAGTGCCTGCGTTCATTTGTGTGTAGGCACTGACTGGTGTTGGATTAACTAGTTTCTTCTGGCTGCAATAAATGCCAGGCTGCTGAGGGTCACATACCTGTAAAAATGCTGAACAGACTCTTCCCCACCATCCCTGCTGCACCCAGCTGCAGTATCGGCTCCTGCATGCAAGCCCCCTCACAGGTCAGTCTCACCCAGCCTTAGGTCAGAACCCACAGGCTGTGTGCAGTACCTTGGATTCTCACCGTGACAGAGTCAAGGCAATTACATCACACCTTCACCAACATCACTTAAGCCAGAGATGGTTTAGCCCCTAACCTCTCGTGGAATGGCAGACCCACGCACACCACGCAGCTACTTCATCCACAAGAGAAATCCAGTATGAACATTATTAGGGCCCAGTGACTCAGAACTAACTTGCACACACTGATTGGGTTTCCAGCCCTATAAACTACTGCAGCCAGTAGCATACCTGACAGCAGCAAGTCCAGCAGACTCAATTTTCTCCAATTAGAAAATCAACTACCACTCACACCCAACCATACCACATATCAGCAACAGCAGAACTATGCCCACTGCAGCCAGACAAGGTGTATAATTTTTGTCAGGATCATCTTGGTTTTGCAACACTATAAACTTTGCTTAATCAACACCAGGAAAACAGCTGAGGGTGAGTCAGGGTGGCTTTCATGAGTTAGTTTTCCTCAGGGCATGTCTGAACTGCAGCACTATTTGATCTAGCCACACCAGCACAGCATCAGCACAAATGATTTAGTCTGCTTCTCACGTGGGCACATGAAGCCCTGTCCCACAGCTCACAGGGCTGCTAGCACCAGTGACAGCCTACTGAGTGCTGTTTGGTGTGGCACATATGTTTACATCAGAAGTAAAGAGTTACTGGTACCTAGAAAATAGCTTTTAACACTGAGAAGTCCAAGAGCCAGATGTTCTACCACGAGCCAGCACTGTGCCCTTGTGGCCAAGAGGGCTAATGGGATCCTGGCATGCATTAAAAGGAGCATGGCCAGCAGGTCAAGGGAGGAGATCCTCCCTCTGTACTCTGCCCTGGTCAGGCCTCACCTGGAGTACTGTGTCCAGTTCTGGGCTCCCCCGTACAAGACAGGGATCTCCTGGAAAGAGTCCAGCGGAGGGCCACAAAGATGATACGGGGCCTGGAGCATCTTCCCTATGAAGAAAGGCTGAGAGACCTGGGTCTGTTAAGCCTGGACAAAAGACTGAGAGGGGATCTCCTCAGTGTATATAAATATCTGAGGGGTGGGGGACAGAAGGATGTAGCCAACCTCTTCTCAGTGGTTTGTGGGGATAGGACAAGGGGCAATGGCTGCAACTTAGAGCACAGGAAGTTCCGCACTGACATGTGAAAGAACTTCACAGTGAGGGTGAGGGAGCATTGGAACAGGCTGCCTAGGGAGGTTGTGGAGTCTCCTTCTCTGGAATGAGAAGGAGATATTTAAGTCCTGTCTGGATGCCTACCTGGGTAGCCTGCTCTGAGGAACCTGCTTCGGCAGGGGGGTTGGACCCGATGATCTTTCGAGGTCCCTTCCAACCCCTACAGTTCTGTGATTCCATGTTATGTCCAGATAACAGAGAACCCACACCTATGCACACTGTAAGAAGACATTTCTCCATCCCCCTCTGTGACACAGCTGCAAACTGCAGTGGTCCTTGTTCACCATGGATAATGGAGACATGGGCATAGCAGTTTGTGAAACTGTGCTTGAGTCTCCCTCAAGTAGGAACCTAAGCTCTTCTGTAATGGGGAAGAACTGTCTTGAGACAAGTTTCTCTCTCCCTTACCAGGTTATACACGGGGCTCTTGCTATTCCCATTTCTTTTGGGATCCCCAGGAGCACAGCTGTCCCAGAAGGCCTACTGCCCAGGAAGGTTCTTCTGAACCAAGTATACACAGTAGCAACTCAGAAGTTCTGAGATGTAAGCATTTATTGGTGTTGGGTTAAAAAAAATATATATATTATATATATATATATAATCTTACTATTCCTAGACATCTGTTTAACACCACAGTTATGGCTTCATAGCGCTGCTACTGCTTGAGGTTGTGAGGCAGTTTAACCCCTACTTCCACCATCTGAGTAAGAAGGTGTTTCAGATCAGTCCTGTTCTTCAGCAGGCACTGGAAAGGACCTTGCAGGCCCACATGTGGGTACTGGCAACTCCTGCACAGCTGCTGCTTCCAGCAAGTGAGGCACTATAGCAGCTGACAGCCAGGAGCATAAGTAGGGAGCTTCACGGTGCAGAGCTGGCCAGGAAGAAAGTGCTGATTACTGTGGGTGTGACAGCTTTGTTTTGTTGTCCCCTGCTCTAACAAGTCAACTCAGCTTAGTCATGACAGCTCCTTTAATAAATTCACACAGAACCTTAAACAGAAGGACAGGTTTTAAAACTGGGAGATTATCATTTCTTGTAGAGAAGCCCTGCTCCTAACTCGGGCCCTTAGACTAAAAGGATAAGCCTAACAAATATTCTTTGTTGCACCTAGCATGGGGTTGATCATTTGTATTTAGTATCACCACCTAACCAGACAAGCCAAACGTTAACAGTAGCAGACAGAACAAACTTGCAGGACTCATCTCTGAGGCAGGATGTTATAAAGTGAACTCTCACTCTGTTTACACTAGAAAGTTAATTCTAGCTGGCTTAGGCTCTCCTGTGTGTCAAGTGATATTGCTTTGATGTGGCAAGGTAGGAGGTGTTGGAGACAGAGAACTAGGACCTACAGGATGCAGATGGATGTCCATATCTTTATTATTTTAAATCAACTGCTTTTATATTTGATCAAAGGGACTCAGATTGACTGAATTCTTAAAGTCTGGAACAAAGAAGGGCACAACTTCCTCCAAATGCACTACCCAGTGAGTTTTATTTTCCAGGCACAGAAGTAAGTCTGATCTCACGTTCATGCTGTCAGGATTATCAGGTTGCATCAAGAAGCCTTTTCTAGCTTCTATTCAGAAAGCTCCTGATGTCTTTGCACCATACTATAGTTAATACTAAGAGCTACAGGAGAAAACAAGACTAGATGTCTTCAGAAAGATGACTGCATGGACATTCACCCTCTAGCAAAAGGACAACCAGATGAAATTCAAGGTCATTTTCTCAAAGCACTTCAACTCCTACTTCTCAGTGAGAAAGCATAGTAGTCATTCCTTCTGCAGGCATATCCTCTCCTTTCCACTCAGGGAGCCCGGAGCCAGCACCCTATGTGTCCAATATTAAGCAACTGTACAGCTTTACAACGGCACAAACAGCTCATTAATGGTGCACAGTAGTAACTGGGATGACAGCAGCTTCTAAGTTTTTGATTAAATTTTTTTTCCTGATTGTTTGAAACTGAATTATCAGAAGCTGATAAAATAAAGACAGTGCTCTGGCATTAGCTACTGTTGTTAATTCATGCTGAAATTGTTCTTGCTTTAGGTCAATGTCTAGAGCTAGAGCTCTCCAGCAGCCTTAATTCTGCTTTCTGCTTGGTACATGCACACACTGCAACCACACTGGTAAGAACTACCAGGGCAACCTTTGGGTTGGGTTGTTCTTGTGATGCAGAACTCACAGCTCACCACCAGCAATTGACTGAAATAGAGATTAAGCTGTCTTCAGAGTTAATTTCTCTCCTGGAAAAATACTGCATTCTGTTGATCCCCTTAAATTGATCCTGAAGGAGATTACGAGCTTTAAGGCTCACTTCTCAAAGCATACCTGAGCTAAAGAGACCTATAAGTATACCAGGAGCAGCACTCACTTCATCCACCACTTTTACTGTAAGATATTAAAAGATGTAAATTTCTGATCTTCAAAGGAATTGTTAGCAACATTTGTATGTATTTGGTGGCACTTCTAGAGCTACATCCATCTCTTCCCGCCCTACTTGCCATCAAAGGACACATCTAAGCACATTTACTCATTAGTAAGATTGGTCAGATTCCCTGGTGGGAACTGCAAATAGCCTATCTCAGTTCCTACAGCAGTCAAGCAGTGAAAACATCAGGTATAAGCCATTTTTTCTAGAAGTAACAGCTTTTTTTTTTTTTTCTCCAGCTAATGCCAGCTTCCACTCACAATTCCATTTGTGAAGTTTTATTACCCAATCCAAAAGCTCTAAGTGAAGGACAAACATAAAACCAATTTAAATTGCAGAAGGTTGCTGGAGGACAGATTCTATGAGGCTGGCAGTAGTTTCTAAACAAAGTTTTTTTTATGACTGTAGGCATTCTGCTGCTAGTGGTTAATACCAGCTGTGGTTAATACCAGCAGGCATGCACATGAAGAGAAATACTGCTACGGTAACAGCCAAAGCTATGGGAAGAGGCTTCAAAAGGCAATCTACTAGAGTTCACCCAAACAGAACACTCAAAATCCTCAAGCAACAATTGCACCTTAAGCTTGTTAAGTGTTTTTAAAAAGATACTTTTGGCAAAATACCACAAGGAATAATGCAAGTTAAATGAGGTAGGCGAAAAGATATGAGAATAGAACTACCACCCTGACTTTAGCTTAGAAATAGATACGTAATAACTACTGCTTAGTTAAAAAGCCTCCATGCTAAAATCTTTGCAGGAAAGTAACAGCAGCTTGCAGTAGATGCTACTAACTGAAAAACACTTCCTCTTGTATGTGCAAGGAAGATTACTTTTAAGGAATGCTGTATGCTCATCATAAGAGCATCCTCGTTACCAGTGGAACAAGGAGGGAAAAAGCCTCAGGGGAGATTCAAAATGTAATTCTGGCATTGGCACACAAGTGCACCCAGCACTCACATTATTCAGCTGCAGAAAGCTAGAGGCCTTCATAGCGCAGAAGCTGTCAGCCTTTACTACTGCCAGAGAAACTGTGGGAGCACTGTTATTCTCAATCAACTCTAGTTTAATGCCCTCTCTTTCTGATAAAGCCAAATTGCACTGCACAAAGCGAGGCTTGGCTGGAGGCTGTTTTTGAAGGAGCTGTTCAGTGGAAACCTTCAGTGCAAGTCTCCTGCCACAACCCTTGTTCCACTTGTGATGAGGAATAAAAGAGCAGGAAAGCCTTAAAAAGGCTTTTCTGTAGCCAATTCATTACAGATAGGCTTTACTGTCCAGGACAGTTTTCCAACAACTTAGCAATCAAGCAACAGTTAGAAACACTAGACCTAGCATCACTGCCTGGAACTGCAGTTAGTCTCCACATGAGGAGAAACAGTACCTTACACTTAATCAAGAATTACTTTCAGAGCTTTTACACTAAGTTAAACTACAGGCAGTTAGTGTTTTGCATGAGACAGCAAGGTGAAGAGAGGGCAGAGCAGGCCAGTGAGTCCCAGGTACAGCCACACAACTTCAAAAGCACACAGACACTCTCAGCAGCACAGCAAGGGGAATAGGTTTATGCTGTAACAGCCTGTCAGTCAAGAGATCCAGTTTATGGAGAACTAGCAGCAGGTTTCTACTGGTAAGATCACACCTGCCTCCAAGGCACTTGCCTGGCAAAGCTTCTGTCACACTTTGGACTTTGTCAGTCACAGCCACACACAGCTCTGATGAGGGGCCTGTTCAGACAAGATAACAGGGTCGCTTCTGACAGGTAGGTGGTTATCAGAAATAATGTGCTATGTATACCCTGTCTCATAGCATAATTCCCAATATATTAGAAAACTTGCTGAAGCAACAACATTAAATTTACTGATAAAACCCTTTTTTAACTTACACGATTGAGTGGGTGCTCAGGATATATGTATTTTAATGGCTTTGTCCAACAGCAGCTAGCTTGTTCCTGTTTATTACTGATAATTAAGCAGTTTTGCTCGATTATACTCTGCTCACAGACTGAAAGCAACACCAAATCCTGCCATGTACCAGCACCAAGTAGCTCAATAGCTCGGGCTCTTAGTCCTGCGCTCCAGGTTTTCACCTCAGCTCACGGGAAAAGCGAAGGTGAGGCCGCCCTGCGCCTGGCCTGGCCACTTTCGTCCCCCCGGAGGGAGGGGCTGCACAGCTCCCTGCACGTCCGATGCCTTGGGCTCCCTTCCCAGAGGGATGTCCCCGCTCCTGGCAGCCCGGCCAGACGGAGGGGACAACCCATGCTCCCCTACCCGAGGTGAGGTCGGCACGGAGCGCTCCCACCCCTGATGCCCACCCACGGGCCGCATCCTCCCCGCGGCAGGCAGCACAGGGGGCCGCGGAAGGCACAGCCAGCCCTGCCGGCGGCTCCGGGGCCCGGCCCCGCGACTCCGACCCACGGCAGCGCACAGCTAAAGCGCCCAGCAGCCGGGGGCTCGGCAGGGCCGCCCCGGCCATCCCCCCGTCTCCTCTCACACACAAAGAGCGGCCCTAGGGGACCGCAGCGCCCCCCGCCCACACACCCACCCGGAGCCCTTCCCTCCGCAGCGGCGGCGCTGCGCGGCCTCACCCGCCGCTTTTGTGTCGGGACCGAAACCCCAGCCCCTCACCGTCGCTTTGATCCGGCCCCGCCGCAGCCTACGGCGCTCCTACCGACGCCACCTCAGGCGCGACAGCCGTTTCCCCGCCCGCGCCGCCTTATAGTGGGGCCGGGCGGTGCCGCGCCTCGGCCAATGGGCGCCTCGACGGGCAGGGCCGGGGCTCGGCCCTTCCCTCTGCTCCTCTCCTCCCTTCTCTCGTCTCTCCTCCCCAGCAGCGGCGGCGGCCCCGCCGTCCCCTAGAGAGCCGTCCGGGCAGGGCCGGTGGTGCCCGAGGAGGAGGAGGAGAAAGAAGAAGGCTGAGGCGAGGGGCGCTGAGGGAGGAAGTGCCCCCTGCCCTGAGGCAGCTGCGGGGATGCGCTGGGGATTTGGCCGGTTCTGGCTCTCTGCAGCCTCCCCCTGGTTGTTACTGGGCTCAGGCCTGGGTGCTGGCAGAGCCCAGGTTGCTCGAGAGAGATATGTGGCAAAAAGAGCTCTGAGGGCGAAGGCCCTGACAGGAATCTGGGTGCAGAAGTTACTGTGCTCCCCTGTGAACACCTATTGTACAATGTAGGGGTGCTGGCCCCTATTGTGCACAACTTTATAGGGTGTAGGAGTGCCTTGCAGTAATGCTGTGTCTGCCGTGGGCCTGTGACAATTCACGTTAACTTTAAATAAGGTTTCCTTTTAATGATTGTAACAGCATCAGGTTCTGTTGTGTTTGTGCATCAGCTGCCAATCAAGAGATGAATGATAAAGGACCCCTAAACACATCTTTAAAGGTTTGAAATCTTTTTAAAAAGCCAAAGACTGAGCACCAACAGTGGGCTCCTTGCACTGTTAGGAGCTGCATCCCTGGCACAGCAATGCTGGACGTGACAGTAACTCATCTTTGTGTCCGTGAGCTGATGCAGAGGTAGCCTGTGGGGCCAGTAATTTAAAACGATGTTTAAATCACATTTAAATGTTTGAGTGTCTGCAGATGCCTGTTTTACATAACCAAGAACGCAGACTGGCTGTAATGGATTAGTGTCCTGATGCACTTCAGTGAGAAGGTCATGCACTTTTGTACAAAAAGCATGAATGCAATTACGAGAGCTGACTCGTGAAAGTCATCCACTCATAGCAAAGCCTTAAGAAAAGTTCAGCAATCTCTTTTAGCATAATTTAGAAACTTTTTTGCCTTTGAGAACCTTTTAATAGTGATTTTGTAACCCATACTTGGCATATTGCACAGAGAACAAAGCAGGTTCTTCACACTGGTTTCTTGTCTTTGCAAATGGGATGCTTGACAAGCACAGGCAGAGAGCATGGGAAGTTTACAGTCTGCTGTGGAGACAGTACAGGGCTGCTAATCCTTCACAACTGCTTAAAACCTCTTGCTTTGCCGCCTTTACCTGTCTCCAGTTAATGCTCAAGGCTTTTTAAATCCGATGCAGACAGATTTAACAGTTTTCTGAATTTCACAGCATCATTTAAAGTGTAACCTCCTGCTTTGATGCTTTTATATCACAGCACTTGACATTACATGTGTAATTAACTTCACAGGGAATTATATGCAGAAGTATTTTGGGGTCAGCTGTAGTCATTATCACAGTCATCCCAGTCTCTGCTGGAGCTACTCTGACTCCTAGCATAGTTTCCAGCAATGTTGATTTTAAGCATTACTAATTATAGAGGTTCTTTGGTTTCTCTTCTGGAACTAACTATACCACTGTCAGAGAAATTCATGATCAGATTAAGTTTTGCCTGTAATTTGTTTTGTTAGAGTGATAATTTCCATTGTTGCAAACTCACCTCAAGCTCTCCCTGTCCTTCAGCAGCTTTTCAGACAGTTCATGTGGCCACTGAAGTGTACCCCGCTTTGGAGCTTTCTGTGTCTTTCCAATAACTATAGATTTTGAATGGTTACTGTCAACAGTTGTTCCTTTAATTAAGGGCATTTGTTGTGTTACTTCTGAAATGGTAGCTAGTGAAATAAAACTCTTGCTTCCTCCGTTCCCATTTGGAAGGACAACAGACATGCTTTCCTGGATCTATACCTGTTCAATTTTCTTTTTGTTTTGTGGCACTCTTTGCTGCAAAATCTGTTCAGTAATCATCTTTGCACCCAAACCAGGAAAACAGATTATTCCACAGAGAATATTTATGTATGTGTGTTTTAGCTGATCCTTAGAAGTAGCTGTTTTGCAAGTCTATTACGGGGCTGCTAGAGGACAAAATGCTGCCCCCTCTGTTTAAGGAGACACGAGTAACAGCTCACACCTTTACTTGCAGGCCCACTAGAAAGCACGGACATCACAGAGAAAAGGAGAATCGCTCCTTTTCTGAATGCTGAATCCCTCCAGCAGCTTGACAGGTGAGTTTTCTCTTTCCTTATTTCATTTGAAGTTATATATGAAGTGGTAATTCGTGGCGAGAAAATGGTTGATATTAATAAAGAAGGGGGAGATTTGAGAGTGTGGCCATGGGGGTTGGAAAGCCCCGAGGTTGAGATAACATTAGACTCTTAACGACGAGGCCATCAGGAATATAAAAGAGTTTAGAGGGAACAAAGAAGGATGATTCAGGAGAGTCCATGCAGTCTCCGGTTTCTTTTTCTCCAGCTGGTTTCTTGTTCTCCAGCTGTTAAGGCATGGATGTTTCTGTGTGTTGGCTGTTGTTACATTCAAAGTTATTTGATCAATGAAAAGTTGTTTTGAAAAGAACTGCTGTGGAGTGAAGGGTATAAGAGGGGAGCCTGCCCTCAAGATAAAAAAAGAAGGCAACACGATGAAGTTACATCAATAAAGAAGCAGGAAAAAGAAGTAAAGAGGAACAGGCTGGCAGAATGGAGACCAGGACGGGAACAGGCACATTGATTGCCTCATGAAGATAGGTTCGGTTTCAGCAAACCGCTCAAAGAAGCTCGTACAGAAAGTTGCTGGAAATAGGCGCACTGGAGCTGGAGAGAAGCTCAAGCTGAGAGAGCGAACCCATGCACACAACTGCCTCTCGCTGGTAAGCAGTTGCACATTATGGGGATTCATACATCCTTAGGAACAAAGACTGTCCTGGTAACCTTACAGCTTATTCTCCTTCTTAACAATCGGACCGTTTATGAGCCTGAAACATGGGATCAAATTGAGGTCGAGGTGTGGGACTCTGCAACTAAAAATGACAAGGTTGCAGTGGGCTTGCTCGGCACCTGGCAAGCAGTCTCTGAGGCCTTAAAGAGCCCTGTGGGACCAGTCTGAAACGTGTGGTTTGCCAGACAGTGAGGGAGCTGCGGGCTCCTTTACTGATCTGACTGCTACGCCATGGGCCCCTCTGCTGCTACAGCCATCGAAGGCTTTTGCTGTTACGCCCCCTGGTGGCCTGAACGTGCCTTTTGACCCAGGCCTACTGGCCTTGAAAAGGAGATGGATATGCTGATTTAAAGATCAAAGCCGAAATTTCCGTAAGTGGTATATTCTTTATTGCAGCGCTGGATGCACGGGGGATCCTTCCGCCTATCGTGCATGTCCGAAGTGACAAAATATCTCATATTTATACAGCGAAACAATGAATATTCAATTAGCATGCATACATATTCATCACCTAACCCCGCCTACCCTCGCTTCGTATGCTAATTAGCTTATCAGTCCTTGCGCTTGCGCAAAGCCTTCCAAGAATTGTGGGCCGGGGTCTTCAGGATGTGGGCAGTGGTCTTTGGGAGGAAGGCTGTAGGTCTTCCTCGTAATGCACTTTTCACCTTTGCTTAATCAGTTGTTTTCCAAGCTGTAAAAATGCTGAGTTGGGTTTCAGTTTAACAGGGTCGGCAGATAACAGGTAGTCTCAGTTAACAAGACAAGACAGTTGACTCAAGTTATCTCAAGTCTCAGCCTGACTAACAGTTAACAGATACTGGGATGTTTTCAAATAACAAGATGCTTAAACATAACAGAAGGTCTACAGATAACAAGATGTTGTTTACTTTGTCCTTGCTAACTTTTAACCACAAGTTCTATTCTATCCTAAAGTGAGTTTATACAATATCATTCCACAAGTTTTATTTTATCCTAAAGTGAGTTTGTACTATATCATTCCACAAGTTTTATTTTATCCTAAAGTGAGTTTCTACTATATCAATGCTTTTCCTCGATCTGAGAAGAACAGGATACATAAGGCCTGAAGACCAAGTTGTTTGACAACTTAAAGCAAGACATATTGTTCAAAAGGAATGGAAAATGGAGACTTGTTTGTAATCAAGAAAAGGAATGGAGACTGTTAAGACATGGAACTTAAAGGATTGTTTGTTACCTTTCCTGATTGTACAAATGTATAGGCATACTCGGGTTTAGTATGTTAAAGCGATGTTCTATATATTTAGAATGTTTGATGTTCATGTGTGCATGTTGGTGGAGCGTACACTCCCTGCACACCCAGCGCTGTTTACTTGTCTTTTATACTTTTTATGAATATTTCTTTTATAAATATTACTAAATTCAGTATTCTGTTATAAATGAGACTTCATTTATAACAGAAGGAAGGAAATTCTTAATCCAGTTCTGAAGCTGAAGAGGAATGAAAGTACACGAAGATTCTGTCTGTGTCAATGCTGAATTTTCAACAATTTTATGAAGTTCACACACTAAAGCCAGACTTGTTTCCTCTACAAGGGCAGGCTGTATGTACCACAGAAGCTTTCCTTGCAGATCTTCTGTGGAAGCCTACCAGCTTCCCATATCCTCGTGCTTAAGAAAGCATCTTGTGGCTTTTATGCTCAATCATGGATGAACCTGAGATCTCCACAGTTGCTACTGTTGGCTGAAAGTTTGAGGTATTTTTTAACCAGTCTGCTGTTTGATGCACAAAATATTGGTTGATGTTTTTAATATCAGAAAGTTGTCTGCTTCTCTGTTTCTGTTTGCTGTACCTTGACCACCACACTTGGGATATTTTTTTGTGTCTGCAAAACTAAAGCTATTTAGTGAGATGGTGTCATCATGACTTTAGTGTGTTAGGTAGGAAGTGGATAAACTCAGAGGCCATAGACTGAGTAATTGTCCATAATGAAGGAAACTGGCATTTTTGTAGGAAAGAAAAGGATAATGAGATTATCAGACAGGTTGCGCGAATAGCACCGTTTTGAATTCCCATTACATTCAGAGCAAGGGGTGTGTTTGCTCTTTAGTGATGGGAGAATTAAGGCAACTGATACTCCTGAGAACACAGGGATGAGCTTCTCTGTTGTTTTATTTTAAAGTAATCAGTGTAGTCATTACAAAGGAAGATCACTGGTTATCCTGTGCTGTTCCAAATACCCACTTGTGATTATATGTGTATATTCCCATGTCCCTGCTGTATCTTACCATCATTTTGCTGTGACTCACAAAGTGTAAAAACACATTTAAGATTAGCATATATCTGAGTAGTAGAATCAATTTGTTTCAGCATTAATTCCACCTTCAGGAATACCCACCTCATATATTTAAAGAAAACCCACAAAAGATAGTTCCTGTTTGACAGCAGTATGACAATGGTGGATTCTCTTATTCTATTTAGTATGTAAGTGGTACTTCATGATGATAAACTGTGAATCTAGGCCAGGAAAGAAGGATTGTTTAAAACCCATTTGAGCATAAGCTTAGCTGCAGGCTTAAGGAGGCTGAAGCCCTTTTTTGGCACAGAACATAAGTTGGGACATGGAGTGTTTCTGCTTATGTGCCTTGTCTAGTGGAATCAAATATTGCTTTGTGATTAGGCTGCATGGGTTGTCTGTATTAGATAGGAGAGCTAACAGTTTCCTAGCTGAAAGATTTGGCAGTGTGAACTTCACTTTGCAGGAACAGTGTTTGCTTGGCACTACAGGTAACTGTTATGCTGAAAAGCTGATTTTTCAATATACATTTGGAAAGCAGATTTGTGAAGGAGGGAGTTGTTCAGCGTTTCATTCAGTTTAACTTGACCACAAAGACATGTGCAACAAAGCTATTGCCTGTTCCATGACTGGAGGAAGAGCCAAAAAGTCTTTCCATTCTTTTCCTTACCAATGGATTTTTTTTTTTTCATTTAGAATGAAGATATATTTTCTGATAAACTGAGTGCTTCAGCTACTTTCTAGAAGAGCTGACTGTATAAGCTACTATAGAATAGTATAGAAATATATAAGTGAAAAGACATTGCCCGTGTTTACTAGATGAAATTAACATCATGGTGGACTGTAAAATCAGTAAATGTGACCCCACCCCTACCCAAATCAAAATACATTTTTTTTCTGGTTTGGCTTCTTAGTCATTTAGGCCTAACTTTAATTTATTAATTCCTTTCTGTTTAAAATTTGCAAAGACTTACAGAACTTTTTTAATTCCTCCCTTTCTTTATGAAGATTTCCTAGGGAATCTTCTTGAAGAACTTCCTTGTTGTGTTCTTCCCACTCCCACCCTTTCCAGAAGACAAGAAAAAAGTATTCATCTGTTCAAATAATTACAGTATTAACTCAACCAAAATGGTTTGGTTGGCTTTAAATCTCTTCCATTCTCTCTGCTTCGTTTTCATTTATTGATTTTTTTCTAATGTTACACCTATTGCAGTTCTCTAGGCCACCAGAGACTACCCTAGGAAGAAAATTTTAATACCAGAATGTTTTATACAAAAACCACGAAGAAAACTACCTGTATTAAAAACAAAAACAACAACAACAACAACAACAACAAAAAAAAAAAAACACCTTAAGCGCTGCAGTCACATTTTTTCCTCTTTTTAATTTACACATTATAAAGAATGCTATAAGTTTCCCTTTCCATGAAAAAGAAAAGAAACAACAAATACATGTTCATAAGTGAGTCCAGAAGAGGGGGGCAGCACAGGGTCTTAGGCTGAGCAGTTTATCAACAAAGCCATTTGTCCCTCAGAGTCTAAGGCCTATAGGCTATGGCCCTCTTAATTTTACTCTGCATCCCTTTCTTTTACTACCTGGAAGGTATTAAAACACTAAGTTGTAACAGAGTCCTGGTATGTAGGTATGAGTCTTGTTAATAAGAGTCCCGAATTGGTCCTTAGCCAATTCTGAGGTACAGAAAGGCAAATGCCCTGTCCCGCAGACCATCTTGTTACCATTTTTTTTTCCCTGCACGTTTCCTGCTAAATTTTGCTTGGGCGTACTTGTTTACTCCTCTGAATCCAGGAAGGCAGCTCATGACCCAAGACAGGAGTACTGCATAGGAACAATCAGAAATTTTAACACAGACGGTATTTAACACATGATGTAGCTATTTTATCTATTAGTAGCAAAGACTATTAAATACAGTATTCTGATTATGAGTAATTGTTTTAGTTGCAATTAAGATCTTCAGATTAATTTTCTGAGTACCAGCAATTACTCACTATACTAGAAGC